GGGGGGGGGTGGATCTTCGAAACGTGGGGGGTGAGGTGAGCACGTTTGTGCGATGGCGTGTGGATGGCGTGCTTGGGTGTTCGCAAGCACGTCAGATACCGCGCGCCATGCGGACGGTGCGGGGATTTGGAACGCCGATTCGTCCGCCCCGCGCGGCCACCCAGAGGAACTCCACCTGCAGCACTGACGGTTGACCGGCGATGCGGCGCCCGCGCGCGAAGAAATGGTGTGCTTGCCGCTCTGACTCGGCTGATCGTCATTGTGCGATGCGAAGAGTTGCTTGTGACAAAGCCCAACCCCCTCTCGGCACAGGGGGGCTTGGAGGGCTGGGGATCACATATATACAGCTTGTGGTACGGCTCCTTCCTTTTGCAACGGCATCTACACTCTTCAACCCTGTTTTGGTATTTGCACGATGGCTGGACGACCTGAGCTTCCTGCATGGACCCCACCCGTGCCTACGCGCGAGACGGATCTCGAATGGGCACCGCTCACCACGCTCGACCTTTCGCAGATCAGCGGAGACGACTTCACCTCGGTGCCCGAGTCGGTGGTGCGCGAGGTGGGCGAGGCCTTCTCGCGCGACGGCTTCATCTATGCCGAGAACCACGGGCTGTCGTGGGAGCACGTGCTGCGTCAGTTCGCCATTGGCCAGTATGCCTTCAACGGCGTCTCGGAGGCGGACAAGGCAAAGTACAAGGCCGACATCCTCTCCACCGGCTCCTTTGTCGGCTACAAGGAGCAAGGACACTGGAAGCTCAACGGCGTCAAGGATCGCATCGAGCAGCTCAACTTTGGGTCGCAGAGTTTTAGCCCCGAGAAGCGCGAGCAGCTCTTTCCGCCGTCGATCCAGCATCTGCTGCCGGAGATCGAGGAGTTTGCACGATTCAACCACGCAGTGATCCTGCGCAAGATCCTGAGCGTGCTGTCGCTCGTACTCAAGCTGCCGGCGAATCATCTGTGGGAGCTGAGCAAGGAGCCCGAGAAGCGCGGCCTGGATCTGCTCCGATACGCCATGTACCACACCCCCGACCAGCAGGACGACGACAAGCTCGGCGGCGTGAGACTGCAGGGCCATACGGACTTCAACTCGGTCTCGATCCTGTGGAGCCAGCCAATCACTTCGCTCGAGGTGCTCATGCCCGATAACAAGTGGAGGCTGGTTAAGCACCGCGACAATGCGCTCGTCATCAACCTGGGCGATGCGATGCACTTTATCTCGGGCGGATACCTCAAGCAGACCATCCACCGTGTCGTGGCCCCTCCGGCCGACCAGGCCCACTACACCCGTCTCGGCATCTTCTACTTTGCCCTCTTCAACGACGATGTCAGCCTCGAGCCGATCGAAGAGTCGAGTGTCGTCCGTGAGGCCTATGCCGCACGCAAGCACAAGGAGGGCGGATTCTGGGACGTCACCAAGGCCAAAGGCGAAAAGGTCCCCACTGCCGGAGACTGGGAGAGGCTCAGGGTCAAGGCGTACGGTCAGCAGCAGGCCAAGAAGGCCCAGGACGGCCACGACGTCGAGGAGATCGCCGGTCAGAAGGTGCTTGGCTACAACGGCGAGAGAGTCAAGTCCAAGTTCACCGCCCAAACCAGCGCGGTCCGTGCCAACTAAGGCTTCAACCCTATACCCCTTGCCCCTCCTCTGCCAATGCACGCATTTAACATGCATCCTCTTGCCCCTTTGGACGTTTTCGTAATCGGCTCTCTCCTCTCTGCACCTTTGTACTTCTAGTTTCAACACTCGCCCGACGTTATTGCATCCAACTGCATTGTTCCTACAGCTCGATCTGTGCAATGCGCTGAGCGAAATCCAACAACGCTTGGTGTTGACCCGGTGGGGCGACGAGCTGGATGCTGAGGACCGGCAGTCTCGCCTCGCCCCCCTCGATGGGATCGGGTGCGAGCATCCCTGGGCTGAAGTGGGACCATTCGTCGTCACGATGGATGAGTGCGGTCCGGGTGTGGCGGCGCAGGTTGGAGAGCGGGATGGAGACGGCTGGCCAGTCGAGCAGATTCATGATCTGGCACCACACCTCGGCGTGGCGCGAGTCGAGCTGCGCAAACGCGGCGCTGCGCACGGGGCCGCCGAGGATGTACGTCGGGGTGAGCAGCATGTCGGTGCCCACACGCGCGTGGAGCGACTGCTTGAGCTCGGCGAGGCGCGTCGGATGCGGTGGCCAGCTCGAGCCGGACAGGCGGGACTCGTCGAACATGGTGCGTGCGATGAGCGGGTCGGTGGCGAGCATCTGGCGCGCAGCTGCAAAGCCGTGCTGCGTAGCATGCTCCATCCATGCCGTCTCCCACTCGCGCGCATCCACCTCGCCCAGCTCGTCGCACTGCACGCCCTCGTCGCCCAGCGCGCCGACGAGATGGGCGATCAGCGCCGAAACCTCGGGCGAGCCGTACTGCGATGTGTGCAGGATACGCGGCCATGCAGCCGGCGAGGCCTGGGAACCTTCAAGTGCATCAACGGCTCGACGGACGGTGCTCATGTCGCGCGCAAGCAGCCCCGGTGCCGTGGCGGGGACGGTGGTGTGTGGCAGGCCCGTCATAAAGTCCTCCGGCAGATGCCAGCGAAACCCGGCTGGGGTGGCGACGAATTTGAAGCCGACGAGCTCGGCGAGACAAGCCGGCTGGCGCACTGACCCGCCCATATCCGTGCCGACGCCGAGCTGGCTGCCGCCCATCTTGACGATGCACGCCTCGCCGCCCGAGCTGCCGCCGACCTGAAACTCGTCCTCCTCAGCCTCCGTGCTGGAGATCGGCGAGCGCGTTGTGCCCCACAGCGGGGAATGGGTAGTGTTGTGCATCATGAGCTGCGGCGCGGTGGTCTTGGCGATCATGATGCCTCCGAGCGTGCGCAGCTTGTGCACGATTTCGGCAGTGTGCGGTTCGACGGGTGCGGCGCGCGAGGAGCAGCCGAGCGTAGTGGCGAATCCCTGCACGTGTATGCAGTCCTTGACGCTGAATACGAGCCCGAAAAGCGGGTACTGCTCCAGCAGCGTCGACGGCGTAGAGGAAGTGTCGAGAAGCTGCTGGTATCGCTGGGCGTGCTCGAGCGCGTCGGTATAGGGGAAGGCGGTAAGGCAGTGCGTTGCGAGACTCGCACGGACGGTCAAGCGTATGCGTGCTTCTACGAGATGTGGCATGGTCAGCGTTCGTTCGATGAGGCGCGTCTGGAGCTCGTCGAGGCTGAGGCGAGCCAGAGCATAGTCGTCCGGGGTAGGGTCGGCGAAGCGGCGGTGCGCGTCTTGCACGGTGGAGAGGAGAGCCTCGACGACCTTGCCCGCAGCCGGAGTGTTGGGGTCTGGGTGGGGATTGCGGAACTCGCCGCGTGGAAGTTTGGCGGTCGACATTGTATGGGTCTTGGTGATTGGGTGGTAGAGGTAGATGGAGGTGATGAGCAAAGGTCTGTGCGGCCGAAACCTCCACATCAACACTCGGCGAAAGGCGCAAGTTTTGGGCGCAGCATTTTGGAGTTTCTTTTCTTTCGTTGTGACGGCCATCAAATAGCGCACCGCTCTCACCTTCGCACCCTCATCATTCAACATGCGCTAAGCGGCGGCATACGTAGCGCCACAGCTGCAGCAGCGGGTCACCATGTTTGTGCCGCGCAAGCTGCAGAAGCGCACGCACCCCGGTCGCGCCCAGACGCGCACTGACGAGCACTATCAGGATGCCTGCGCCCCGCAGACGCACGATACGCCAGCGGCACACAGCGTCGACGTGGACGCTGGCAAGCTCGAGCGGCTGGTAGGATTCCTGCATGCTGTGCTGAACCCGCTGCACGTCGCACTTTCTGCGCGGGACGAGGCGCGCACCCTCCCAACTAGCACGGCGTGGTCGGACCTAGCTGCGGCCATTGCGGCGCGTGGCTCGGGAATCCATCTCGCGCGGCTGCTGCAGCTGGTCCCTGGGCTCGCGACACGGTGCAAGTCGATCAGCCTGCTTGCGGAAGCACTGACTACGTGCAAGACGCGTGCAGCTGCGGGCTGGTACGGCCTAGACGCATTCCGGGTCACTTGGTCCGATGGCTACGCCGAGATCGTCAGGGACCTCGTCGCAGCGGACGGAATCGCAGAGGTGCTCGGTTCACGGCTCGTGTATATCGAACATATCCCGCCAACGGTGCGGACTCGACCACAGGCGACAGAGTACGTCGCGCGGCTGCTCAAAGATGGCGCGGACGCCGGGGTGTTTGGTGTGCTGGAACCAGCGGTGGTGCAGCACGCACTCATGGCGAACAAGACGGCCGAGTTGGGCGGAAGGTGGGTCTCGGGTCGCGGATTCTTCGTGCTCGACGCGCGCAGCGTGGAGTACCTCTGCGATGCCTATCCTTGGGACTTGGCGCAAAGAGTTCACAAAGGAGAGCCGCTACGGTGTCTGTCGTGGTCACAGTGGGAGCGGTTGCACGCGATGTACGCGCATCAGCTTGCACAGCAGTCAGCCGCACCCAGTGTCAAGGTGGAGGACAAGTGGTGGCGCGGAACCATGCTGCTTCTCCGCCTGCCGGTTCGCGAGGGGTGTCTCAGCGTGCCCGAGAGCGGGGATCGGACGGTGGGGTTTTGGAATCGCCATCTGAAGCCGCAGCTCGAAAGACACGTGCCCGAGTCGATTGCATACATGCACACGCACCACGACGCCGTGGCGATCCGCACCGCCCATCCTGCATGCGCCACGCAGCTCCTGGCTCACTTCCCCCAGCTCCACCGCATGCCACCCAGCGATGAAGACGACCAGTGGTGCCAACTTCCCGCCAAAATTCACAACGCCGCACACACACGGCTGCTCGCGCTCGATCACAATCACCCGCGCTAGCCAGAAATCCATTCCATTACGATGTCCACTGCGGCCTAGAAGAGCGCGACGCTTTGCGTCATGGGCAGCTCGTCGGCGGGCGGCACGGTGAGCAACCTACCGCCATCCGTCACTTCGTACGTCTCGGGATCCACCTTGAGATCGGGCGTGTGCGTGTTGAGCTTCATGTCCTTCTTGCTCACGCTCCTGCAGCCCTTGACCGCCTCGGTCCGCTTCCGCAGTCCGTACCCCTGCACAATGCCCTGGGCCAGCGAAACCTGGCTGACAAACAGGATCGAGTTGTGCGGCGCCGCATTGGCATTGGCACCATGCATCGGCCGGCCATAGATGGGCTGCACCGTCGGGATCGACGCGTTGGCATCGCCCATCTGCGCCCATGCCACCTGTCCGCCCTTGAGCACGAACTCGGGCCGCGTGCCAAAGTTGGCAGGCAGGTAGAAGACCATGTCCGCCAGCTTGCCCGGTTCGATCGAGCCGATGCGGTGCGAAACGCCGTGGACGAGCGCAGGATTGATCGTGTACTTGGCCACATAGCGCTTGATGCGAAGATTATCCGGCACGGCGTCGGAGGTGCTGGGAACGCCCGAGGAGGGGGTCTCGGTGAGAGGGCCAGTGAGCGAGGCCATCTTGGAGGCGGTGCGCCAGGTGCGTGCGACGACCTCGCCGATACGGCCCATGGCCTGGGAGTCGGAGCTGATCATCGAAATCGCCCCAGAGTCCTGCAGCACGTCTTCGGCCGCCACGGTTTCGGCGCGGATGCGCGAGTCGGCAAACGCCACGTCCTCGACAATGTCCTTGGAGAGGTGGTGGCACACCATGAGCATGTCGAGATGCTCATCCAGCGTATTCTTTGCGTACGGCCTCGTAGGGTTGGTCGACGAAGGCAGTACGTTGGTCTCGCCACATACGCGGATGATGTCCGGTGCATGGCCACCGCCCGCGCCCTCCGAGTGGTAGGTGTGGATCGTGCGGCCCTTGAAGGCGGCGAGGGTGCCTTCGACGAAGCACGACTCGTTGAGCGTGTCCGTGTGGATGTTGCACTGCACGTCGTACTTGTCGCACACGGTCAGGCATGCGTCGATGACGGCCGGCGTGGCGCCCCAGTCCTCGTGGATCTTGAGTCCCGCACAGCCGGCCTTGATCTGGTCCTCCAGGCCCGGCAGGCCCGAGTCGTTGCCCTTGCCCGTAAAGGCAAAGTTGAGCGGTACGCCGTCGGTGGCGATCATCATGCTGCGCAGCTGGTCCTGGCCCGGCGTGCACGTCGTGGCGCTCGAGCCGGCGGTCGGACCCGTGCCGCCGCCGATGAGCGTCGTGATTCCCGAGGCGAGCGCCTCCTCGTGCAGGTCCGGACAGATGTAGTGCACGTGCGCATCGATCGCTCCCGCCGTCACAATGTACTTTTCGCCCGCAATCACCTCGGTGCACGAGCCGATCACGAGGTTCGGGTCGACACCATCCATGATGGCTGGATTGCCCGCCTTGCCGATGCCCACGATGTGGCCGGCGCGGATGCCAATGTCCGCCTTGACGATCCCCCACCAGTCGACGATCAGCGCGTTGATCACCACCACATCCAGCACCGCCGCATCGCTCCGGCCCGACGCCTGGCCCATGCCGTCGCGGATCACCTTGCCGCCGCCGAACTTGAGCTCGTCGCCGTAGACCGTGTAGTCCTTCTCCACCTCGAGCCACAGCGGGCTGTCGGCCAGCCGCACGCGGTCGCCCACCGTGGGGCCATACAGCGCCGCGTACGCCTCGCGCGACAGTTCGTACGGCGCAGGAGGCGTCACGCCGCTGAGGTCCGGCACGGGCTCATCGGCGAAGCCAGCGGCTTGGATGCGCTTGGTCAGCGCCGCTTTGGCATCGGCCGAGGCGAGGAATTCGTCGAGCGGGCCGGCGGCGAGGTTGTTGCCGCCGGCGAGGATCTTGGTGCCGCCGACCTGGACGAGGGTGACGCTCTTGGTGTCGCCCGGTTCGAAGCGGATGGCTGTGCCCGGTGCGATGTCGAGACGCTTGCCCAGCGCCAGCAGACGCGGGAACGACATGGCGGCATTCACCTCGAGGAACGGATAGTGCGATCCGACCTGGATGGGCCTGTCGCCCGTGTTGGTGACCTTGACCACCACCCTCTGGCGCTTGGGGCAGAGCTGGATCGCAGCAGCATCTCGCTGCGTGACGAGGGCACCCGGGAGCACGTGTGCGGCATCGGCAGGCACGATGGCAGTCGATGCCGCTGCCGCTGGCGCCGGCGTCGTCTGAAATACGCTCGGATCCGGAGCGGGAAAGAAGCTCGAGTAGAGCGCGGCATGAATGTCGCCCGTCTCGGTGCAGACGGGATTGTGCACGGTGACCAGGAAGGTTCCGTCGAGGAAGGTGCCTTCCACCATGACCTCGTGCAGAAGCTCGGCGACGCCGGGAAGCACGTGGCAGCGACCAAGGAGGGTCTTGCCGTGCTGCATGAGTTCGGCCACCGAGTGTTCGCCGTCGCGGATGCGCTCGTGGAGCACGGTGGCGATGAGTGCGGTGGCCTCGGTCTGGTTGAGCCTCACGCCGCGGGCGAGGCGTTTCTGCGCCAAGGTGCCCGCATGGTGGAGCAGGAGCTTATCGCGTTCGCGCGGCAACAGATGCATCGTGCCGTGGCTTGCTTCCTTGTGCTAGTGGGGCGTGCGGGATGAAGCTCAGCGGTGAGCTCAGCGGTGATGTGCACGAGGTAGAGCTTGAGGGTCAGAAGGATGGTTTGAGATGAAGCCGGGAGCGGAACAGGGTCCGTGCCAAGCACCGATAAGAAGCGCGAGGCTGAGCTCTAACATTGGTCGAGATTTCGGCTTTGGGATCCGAGATCCGCGTTCCGGGATGGCGTTGCGGCGTGATTTTGGCCGTCCAACCGATGGCAGCGGGTCTTGTCTGTGCACCCTCACCTTGTATCCTCGTGCGGCCGCGGTTCGATGAGGGCGTGTAGCATGGCGAGTGCACGCGCCTCGACGTCGCGTCTCACGCTCGAAGCCTTCCACCCACGTCGACACCTCCGGCTGGCCTTGGTTCCGCGACGCACCTTTTCATCGTGCGCGCCTCTTTCATCTTCAGGCCCGGCTTCTGACACGACAGTGTCGCATCGCATCCGGGCGCTCATGCGCGAATCCGCCCAACCGGTTGCACTGATCACCACGCTTCTTCCTGTCTCACTCGATGGTGGAAGGAGGGTCCATGCAGCGACGCTGTCGAGCTTTACGTCGGTGTCGTTGGAGCCGAATGTGGTGTGCTTTTCCATGCGCACACCCTCGAAGCTCGCCGCGGCACTCGACGCGCACTTATGCTCGCGCACGGGCGGAGATCAGGTGGACTTTGTCGTCAGTATCCTGGGCGAAGGTCAAGCAGATGTGGCGGCGGCATATGCCAAGCCTGGAACTCCGCCGCTCGAGGAGCTTTCGGCGGAGGAACATCCCCTGCACAAAGCTGGACTGCTCGATCTGCAGCTCGGACAAGACGCGCCCCCGGCACTCAAGAAGAGTCTGGGCGCCTTCGCCTGCCAAGTGGTCGACACTATACCGCTCGCACAGTACGCCCACACACCACGCTCAGCGCAACCGAGCAGCGTGCTTTACCTCGCGCGCGTGCTGCACGTCCACCTACCCACGGACATGCATCCAAAGCCACTCATCTACCGTCACCAGCAATTCACCACGCCATCGTAATGCGAACATTGCTTTCTATTCCAGGAAGCCGCGGATGGCGCCGCCGACGTTGGGCACGTCGATGAGGAAGCTATCGTGTCCATGCGGTGCGTCGAGCTCGTAGTATCGCACCGAGTCGTTACCGTTGAGGCGGAGGCATTCTGCGATTTCGCGCTGCTGCTCGACGGGGAAGAGGATGTCGCTCTGCACGCCGATGACGAGTGTGGGGATGTGCGAGAGTCGGGCCATGCCGCGCGCAAGGGCGGGCACGTAGGCATGCGCGGCGGGGGACGAAAGCGTACTGATGTGCTGCCTCTTCCTCGGCCTCGGTGCGGGTGGCGGGGTGTGCGAGACGGACAAGCCCGCCTCGCCTCGGCCGTGCGCAGCGGTGCGTCGACGCTCCAGATCTGCAAGCGCATGGTCGGACATGTCGAAGAGATCCATGGCTTTCGAGATGTAGATCAGCGAATTGGCGTCGTACTTGAGGCAGAACTGCTCGCCCTGATGATCGAGGTACGTCTCGATGAGAAAGTCGGGACACAGCGCGGGGTCCAGCTCGTGCTCCTCGCCCCCTTGGCTGGCAGGGGCGATGCGTCGTGCGCGACCAAAGCGCTGCTCCCACTCGGGTCCCGATCGGTACGTGAATGTGGCAATCTGACGTGCGAGCTTCATGCCCGTATGCGGCGGGAGCGAGCCGGGCTGGTAGTAGAATCCGCGGTTCCAGTTCGGATCGCTCATGAGCACGCTGCGCTGCGCATACCTCAGCGCGATGCTCGCCGGCGCGCTGCGGGCGCATCCACTGATGGACACCAGCCGCTGCACGCGCTCGCGCTCCAGATGCGCCGCTGCAATGCTCTGCATGCCGCCCATGCTGCTGCCCACACTGGCGTACAGCGTGCGAATGCCGAGATGGTCCAGCAGCCGGAACTGCGCACGCACCATGTCAAAGATGCTCAGGATCGGGAAGCGCGTTGCGTACGCTGCGCCCGTCGGATCCTGCGGGTGCGGCGACGACGGACCCGTGGAGCCATAGCAGCCGCCGAGCACGTTGGTGCACATCACAAAGAAGCGGTTCGTGTCGAGCGGCTTGTTGGGGCCCACAAAGTCCTCCCACCACCCCTTGGCGGGATTCGACTCGGTGGACGCCGCATGCGACGATGCCGACAGTCCCGTGTGCAGCAGGATGGCATTGGACCGGTCGGCGTTGAGCGTGCCCCACGTTTCGTACGCGAGGTGGAACTCGGGCAGCTCGCCGCCGTAGTCGAGGCGGAACGGCTCGCGGTGGTGGTAGAGCTGGTATCCACTGACGACCTTCGTGTAGGAGGGTTCCGGGCCGGAATCGTCGACCTCGGCGGCGGCGGTTGTGGGTGCGTCGGGCGCGAGCTGGGGCGAGCCGAGCTGGCTGCGCAGTCTGTTTTCGCGCGCCTCGTTGGCGTCGACGCAGGGAAAGGCGACCGAAGGGTCGCTCGACGACGGCGTGGTGCAGAGCGACGACTTGCTCGCCGATGCTGCTTCTGATGCTGCTGCTTCTGATGCTGCTGCTTCTGATGCTGCTGCTGCTGCTGCCTGTTCGGCCAGACGCTGCAGCTTGTGGCCGCGGCGCTCGTTGGCGTCGACGCAGGAGAACTCGGGCTTGGCGTGCACCGAGCGCGACGACGCCGG